GGAAAGAGAGGGAAGGCCTAGACGCTGGGCTTTGTGTCTGTTTGCAAAGTTTGACTTCTTAACTTATGGTGGGTATGTGGATGTTGATGCACTTTCTTTCGTGTTCCTTAAAATAAATGAACACTTAATGGATAAAGGCACAGAGACATGAAGCCCAGATGTTCACATGGCAAGGTGGAAGGGGAAGCAGCACAGAGCAGGGGCTGCCTGTGTGAGGAAAAACAATGAGGGAAACTGATGTGCTGGAAACAGGGTTAAGTCAGCCTGGAATGTCTCCGAAATTCATACGTCTATTAAAAAAAAAAGTGGGGAGAGCCTTCTAAATGATCTTCCAACCAGAAGTTCTGATGCCCTGGGCTAAGGCTGGGTCATCAGATGGAGGGGACACCTGGAGCAAAGCAGACCAAGTCGAGTTTGACTTCTAGAGGTTGCAGGGCCTCTGAAGTCGAACTCTGTAAAACTCTGTGAAGTTATTTTTGCTTTTCCCATTAGCCAGGGAAGATTATGCTCTTCTCCCTAGCTACTCTTCAAGGCAGACCCCATGGGAGCTGCCTGAGTCCCCAGGGCCTGGTGCCATGTGCATGCTGGCAAGGGAGGGGCACAGGCCTGGAAAAGAAGCCCAGGGTTTTCATACCAGAAACACTGTCATGGTTCCACAGCTTGTACCCTTATCTCTCTGTACCCATTCTGCCATATCCAGAGAATTTGCTTCTCGTCATTTAGGAGTTAATAATTATTACTCACCTGAATTTATTTTGCTGATTACTGACACCGTCCCTGAAGATTTTCCAGACAAACCAGAACTAGACCATGGGTTAGATGGAATAAAATCCTTGCCTGGAGTCGGGAGTATACCATTTCTTATATTTATTCCTTATAAGGAAGAAATGTTTTCAGAATGTAAAATATGCATTTAATTTTGTACCAGACTTCAGGGAGAGAATTAATGCAGAACCCAATTTGCCAAAAACTTCCTATGGTTCAAAAATCTAAGCAAAAACTGACTGTAAAAAGGCAAGATGCTGTCTTTGGGTTTAGTATGTTGTCTCACTGGTGGGTGGCCTGAATGTGGTCTCCTAAACATCCTACCAACAGATCTGACCCATGTCTTATCTCTTGACCCCATCTGGTGCTGTCCTGGGCTTTCGTACTCCCGGACATTCCTACTTGTCCTCTTTCACAGACAACTGCCTTTCTGTCATCTAAGTTCTTTTGCATCCCCCATCCCAACCTCCCAGCTCTGCAGCTCTCTGCATTCTGTCCCCCAAGATTCCATCTTTTCACCTGACCTGGACCATCACTGCACTGCCATCATGTACTAGTGACTCCAGTGTGTACCAATGACCCTTACCGACTCCCTCATGTCCAAGGCTGCCCTGATCTTAATCTCAATCACCTCAACCTCAAGCCAAACCACTTTCCCTCTAGACCACCCACTTTCCCACTTGTGTCAAGCAATGCAGATTTCTAGTGGAAAGACCTCAGGTATGCTGCCTGGCTCTCACCAGTTCCTTCCTCCCTGGGGGCTGGACCGAATTTTCTCTACCAAATTTCTTATCTTAGGCAACTATATAATATAAAAACATGAGGCCTGTGCTCCAGCAAATATTTTTATGACGTTCCCACCAGTTCTGAAGAGAAACCCAAGTGTTTGCCTTCTAAAATAGAATCTTTGTATGTGATTCTAGGGACATAATTTCTTATCAACGATCAAAGAAAAGGCAATTATTTATATTACCAGGCAAGTATCGGGAGTGCTTCAAGTAGTGCTGCTTGGCCGAGGATCTCAGGGTGGGCGTGTCTCGCCTCTGATATGAAGTCTGGGTGGGGGCGCTATTTCCTGTCCCCACTGGCTCAGAGGGCTTCAGGTCCAAAACACTCTCAAATCTGAATGGAGAAAACATGGCTTAGGTCACATGAGATAGAGAGCATCATCATATCGGTAACAATCATCTCACCGAATTCCAGATTCAGTCTATTCACAAATATGAGCCTCATACTTGCCTGCAGAGAGTCTCATCACTCTGTCTTTTCTTGTTCTTCAGGTCAATCCTGGTGAGGGATGGACTGAATTCCAAGTCATCCAAGTCAGTCCAGTCATCGGAATCTTTTGTTGACCTGGAAACAAGACCCCACCTTCTCCTACTCTTTGGCTTGATCTCACCATTTTTGTGTTCCAGGCCAGCAAGGATTTTCTGTGTATACAAAGAGAGGGGGAAAAGCGATATTTGGCATTAATGGAGCTCACCCATGAGTAATCCCCATTCTGAACTTTCTTGGTCATATCATTCCCCAACACACACTGCTTATCTGAAAGGGCAACCATGGGAAACATATTCCTAGACTTCTGTCTCTCACTTATCCTGCACAGATTACATTGCTTATTACCATATGAGGATACGAAATTGTATAAGAAAAAGATTAAAAAAGAGAAATTTAAGGTACTCCTCCCATACAAGGAAGATGGCTGGATTTTCATTCAGACTTCATCTCTGAAAAAGTTAACATGATTTATACCGTCATAAATAAAGAAGTAAGAAAATATAGTTAAGATGTCAGTCATCCTGCTCTTTTACAGAAAACAATGCAAATAATGCCTTCTTTGCCTTCTCGGTAGACCTGGATACTATTTAACCATAGGGTTAGCTACAATAGGACATTTCCAAGCACACACTCCTTCCATGTTATGGGCTGGGGTAAGGCAAACAGTCTAGATACACCACCCTTGCAACCTCACGTAGTCTCTCACGTTGTGCTAGTTGGAAGCCAATGCTCAGTGGATGAATAGCAGCTGACAGAAAAAGTATTACTTTTGCATACAGGTGTCAGAAAACCAGACAGTATTACTCTCAGACAGTAATATACAACTAAGGGTAACTAGACTTCCTTGTCAGGTTACTGTTTCATCGAATCTAGCGTTATTATTTCCTTTTGAACACCAGCCCAAGAGGAAAAGAAAGATCTGGGCTCAATTAACAGCTCAACGTTCACAGCATCAATTGATGGCATTAACGGGAATAAGGATCTACAAATAATAGTACAGCATGTGATGATTTTCAAAACATCTTCACAAGCAGCAGGACATTTGATTCTCATGAGCAGCCTTGTCTGCTGGGCAAGATAGGCTTTATGATCTTCCTTTTACAGGTGAGGAAGCTGAGTCAACAGGGATTAATACAATTATAATGACTAACATTTATTGAGTTCTAACTAGGTGCCAAGTACTATTTTGAATTCTTTCAAGTATTAATTCATTTAGTCTTCAAAGAATTCTATCAGGCAGGCGCTATTATTATCCCCATTTTACTGATGAGGAAATAAAGAGCAGAGAGGCCAAGTAACTTACACAGGGCCATCGAGCTATGAGATAGCAAAGCCAAGATTTGAGACCCTGGCAATGTGGTTGAACTATCCAGCTCTCAAACACCACACCACAGCTGCCCCCGTGAGGGGCACCATGATTAATAGACAGACCCAGAATGTGAATTGAGCCCTATAACTCTAAGGCCAAAGCTCTTTTAGCAATTCCATGATATTGCAGAGATATATTTACTATAATTAGATTTTATATGCTAAAAAAAACTGTTACACAGTAAGTGGGGTCAGAAGAGAAATAGGGCAGACACAAGGCTCGCTAGTGAATCTTCGCTACTTACTGCCTGAGGATTCTTTGCATGGAGGGATGGGAAGAGCAACGGGTTTGGTTTGCCCTCAGGAACATGGTTCGGGTGATCTGTCCTGGAAGCCTCTGCTTTGTAGGGGTACGTGAGATGCTGAGAGGGCTGGCTGGCTTGATGTTGTCTCGAAGAAATTCGTGAGTGTGGCTTGGTTGGGGGCTGGGCAGGCGGGACTGGCTTCATGTGAGGAGGTAGGCCTGCCTTTTCCAGGCTGTCTTTCTGTGGTTTTCCTGAATCCTGAAGGCTCTGTGTGGTGCTGCCCAATGGGTGCCCAACCTGGAAATAAGGATATCGAAGCGCCTGGAATGACACATAAGGCTGCTTTAGGAGAAAAGTCTAGCTGGGAAGATTAACACCATCAGGTTCACTGGGCTATATTTCAGGTGACTACAGTTAATACAATGTCGTAGCCCAAACCAACTATAAAACAACACCTTGAATCTGTAACACCCCTTGTGATTTTTCTTATCTAAATATCATCAAATGTATGTACTTAAACTCATTTGGCTAGAGCAGCCAGTTACACTGCTATTACCTTTGCTACTTCTGAAAAGTATTCTGGCTTAACGCAGGTCTTGGCTTTGTAATGTATTGCTATGTGTCTTAAATATAATATTTCACCTTTCTAAGCTCATTTCCTCATTCCATAGAAAGAGACAAAAATATATATAAAACTGAGAGAGCCAAATACAATGATCCTAGAGGACCCTAAAGAATCGAAAGTAAAATAAGCAGGTACATCTGCTTTTACCTCAGGAAAGCCAAGAACGTATAATACGTGATACAGTTGAACCTTGGTATCAAGAATAACTGACAACTAAACTTCGTTAGTTCTGAATAAAAAAGTTTTCTAGATAGCCAAGGGATAAATCTCATAGGGCTGGGACTTTATAATTCTTTCTGAAATATTCTGTCTTCCCTAGTGTTTTTGAATGGACATCAATAAATATATAATAACTTTTCTTAATGACTCTGAGACATAGTTATAAATATCTGTAATGATTATATATAAGTGTAAATACAGAAGCAAAAAACATGGATACTATGGTACAAGTCCTGGACCCTGGCATCTAACTCGAAAAGTCCTCTGTATAGTCCCAAGCATTTTTACAAGTCTCAACTGATTTGGGGGTATTTTTAGCTTTTCTGACACTATTCTTAAAAGTACCCATTGCTCTCTTAGTTCCTTTTTACAGCATCTTTTTCCTTTCATCTCTTGTGCACATCCTTTGAAAACTGGGTTCATCAGAAATCTTACATCCTGCCCTGAAAATATTTATGAATTTCATGCCCAGAAATACATTTCTGAGAGTGTTCCGACCTTCTTAAGCCATCCGGAGTCTTATGGTACCAAATTAAGGCCCTTTCTTCTTTCAGTCTTTGGACAGCTACTTATCTACAATTCTTTAACCCCCTAAGTATCATCTCTCCAAATTCTAACATCACAGAAGCACTGTCTTCAAATGTCACTATTACTTTTGCTTACCCAATTCATCATCCCTGATTAGAATTGGTTACCTTTTTAAATTCTCTGAGCAACGTAACTGTCTCAATGAGATAAGGTGAGGAGGGGCCAGACACAACCAATGAAAAAGGCAGCTGGCAGGAGGCATGGGAGTGGTGGAGCTCACAGCAACACCATGCCTCTTTTGGAGATATGTTATAATCTAGGTCAAAGTGGCCTGAGGGAGGGTGGGTTCAGAAAACAGGAGGTATGGTGTAAGAAGACCTGCCATCCGCATGATTGAATTGCAGTGGCTGCACTATCTGTATTAGTTATTGGATGAGTGATTAGGACAAATTGCTTAGTTTTCTCATATATAGAATGAAAACAGTAACACTTATACAGTCTTCATGGGGTAAAATCACATAAAAACATACTGAAGTATTTACAAAATGTAAAGTGCAAAAAAATGCCAGTTACGGTTATGATCCCAGCTCTGCTGGTCTCTGTCATCTGTAAAACGAGCAAATTGGATTTTGTAAGACATTTTCAAATTCCCTTTCGACCACCAATACTGCCTTATAAACCAACTGTTATATAATCTTAACCCATAGACGATATATTTGAAAACTTTCTCCAAAGACAGGTAGATCTGTTTTTCATTTCCACATATATGGTAATGTACCATGTGAACTATACGTCAATTTTCAAAGCAACTATATTGTTTAAATCTTAACTACTTTAACTATACACAGCGAGCTTCAAACTATTTTCTCTTATACATAATACACAGTAGTGGTATTCAATACTATTTTTCACCCATAGTACCAAATATAATACTTCCTATTAGATTTATAGGAATTATTCACAGTTAGATATGAACTTCATAAGAAATCCATCAAACGGAAGAAAATGGAAGAAAACCTGACTAGCTGTTGGCCGTTTCTTGGGATCCCACTGAAGCATGTCTCTCAGGAGCTGAATTGCTTCGCTGCTAGCATTTGGAATCAAGGTCTTCAGGTTATTGGGTATGCACTGGGGCCAGCGGAAGTTCATCGCACTTGAAAGTTGGTAGCCTTCAGGCCAGTCGGTCTGAAAAAAGGAAAAGATAGAAATTTTGCTCAGCCAACTCACTGCAATGAGAGTTTATACTCTAGAATGTATACCAGTAACAGAAAGGCAATCATGTCATTATTACACCCATATTCAATATTGTGGCACTATGTGTCATAAAACACGGGAGCATGCCAATGGAGAGACACAAAGAACATGAAGTCTGAGGAAAAGGGGAAAGGATACTGGATTTGACACCAACTTGTTTCATAACCTTCAAATAAGATAGTTCCTCTGTTGAGATCTGGGAGTTGAACCAAATTAGAATTTTCACAATTGTGTTCCATGAGACAGAGGTTTGAGAAATTGCTAAGAAATTGTTTTGGGGGGTAAAAATAAAACATCTTGTCCTCAGTTAAATAAATTTGACTATATCCCCATCTTGAAGACTGAAAATATACAAGCGGAGAAGTCCAGAAGTAAAATATACAAGCTGCTCCACACAATGTCAAGCCCTTCACTTTTTCATCCATCATACCTATGGGACACTAAACACTGGAGCGAATGACAGGAAAGAATGAACAAATAATCTTTATGGTCCCCTCCAGTTTCAAAACTCCACTATTTTACAAGACACATTCTGGTGTAATTGTTTTTTTGTTGTTGTTGTTTTTTGTTTTTAAAGCAAAGTGGCAATATGTATAGCTTATATCATTTATTCACTTAGATAGTGAGTGCCTTCTATAGGCTTAGCATTGGGTGTCCAAAAATAATCTGATATAAATCTTGCCCATAAGGATATAACTGTCTAAAGGAGAAAACAAGACATTTATTTAAGAACAATAATACAGAATAAAAAGTAATAAAGATCACAAGAGAGTACAGATAGTTTTCCAGGGAAGGGAGAGATTCCAACAGGAGACTGAAAATCCTGAAGAGGTAGCATTAATGATTCAAATGACTTAATTTTTTTTGAGGGACTAGTCTTGTACCAGCAATGATGCTAGGACCTAGAAAAATAAACACAAGACAAATCCTTGCCCTGAGTGAGCTGATGGTCCATGAAAGAGATATGTACACAGATCATTATATTAATAACACAGAACACAGCTGAAGATGGAGAGGAGATTAGAGGAAAAAGATCATTGCAGGGCCTTGGAAGAAGAGTGGGATTTGGGTATATGAAAGATGTTCAGTCGGGCAGAGCATGTATATGCAGAGTGCTGTTGTGGGGGGGTTTGAGGGCACGTGGTTGGGGTGTGGGGGAGGGAGATACAATCTTTGGGACAGGGAATGACAGTTACAGGGCCTGGGTGATGGGGAGTCAGCAAATATTTTCAGGAGGAGAAGACAGTACCAGAGTTGTCCTTTATGAAGTTGAACTGGCTGAAGACTGAAAGATAAGCTGGAGAGAAATGACTTGAAGGCAGAAACACTGATACCTCTAGACAGGCAGTGTGAGCAGGAGCCAGTCTGTGAGCATGGCCCAGTCTGGGGCAGTGGGACTCGCAGGACAAGAGCCATGTGAAGGATACTATGTAGCGATATTCAATAGGATTTCAGGGCCAACTGCTTGGGGAAGGGGGAAGGAGAGAAAGGGA